ACTAGCCATGGAATCCCACATTTGGCTAGCTTCCCCCTCTCTATCCCACACACATTGGGTGATTACCTTCTCTTTGAAAATGACTTGTTTTTCTTCTTTTAGATTCCACCATCTAGTTCTTGGGCACTTCCAAGTCTTGTTCTTTTGTCTTACTCTTTTGATATGTACATCCATCACCAACAAGCGATGTTGATTAGCCACGCTCTCTCCTGGTATAAACTTTGCAATCCTTACAAGTTATACGATCCCCTTTCCTCATTAGAAGAAAATCTATTTGTGTTTTTTGACGACCCACTCTTGTAGGTGATCACATGTTCTTCTCTCTTCTTAAAGAAGGTGTTGGCTAAGAAGAGATCATATGCCATTGCAAAATCCAAGATAGCTTCCCCATCCTCGTTTCTCTCCCCAAAACCATGGCCACCATGAAAACCTCCATAGTTGCCTGTCTCCCTGCCTACGTGTCCATTTTAAATCTCCTCCTATAAATAACTTCTCCGTCTGAGCAATTCCTTGCACCAAGTCTCCAAGATCTTCCCAAAATTTCTCCTTCGAGCTCGTATCCAACCCTACTTGAGGTGCGTACGCACTAATCACATTGATAAGTTCTTGTCCTATTACAATCTTGATTGCCATGATTCTATCTCCTACCCTCTTGATATCTACAACATCTTGTACCAAGGTCTTGTCCACGATGATGCCAACACCGTTTCTCGTTCTATTTGTGCCCGAATACCAAAGTTTAAACCCTGAGTTTTCTAGATCCTTTGCCTTACTACCAACCCACTTAGTTTCTTGTAGGCACATAATATTTATCCTTCTCCTCACCATAACTTCCACTACTTCCATAGATTTTCCCGTTAAGGTTCCTATATTCCACGTTCCTAAACGCATTTTGCTCTCTTGAACTTTACCCTTCTGTCCTAGCTTCTTCACCCTCCCCCGTCTAATAGGATCAAAGTACTTCTTTTGTGTGTCCCGGGTAAAGTTGATAGGAGCATATGCTCCCAAACAACTTTGAGTGGAGTCGTTCGAAAAGAAGTTTCTATGGCCCCCTTGCTCATTTAACACTGCATCCGGGTGCCGATGGAGATACAGCGACCCTTGCTCACTTATCACTGTGCTCGGGCCACACAGCGCGCCACTTACGGGTGACGCCCTAGCTTTAGCGCGATTTTGTTCTGGATTCATTTTCATAAGGATTCGACGTGATCATGGAGTGCCGGCTGTCGACTACCTGACGCCCTCCCCCTCCTCCTTTATCCGGGCTTGGGACCGGCCATGTAAGACATAGGCGGAGTTAGAGCCATAAACAAGCAAAAAAAAAAAAAAAAAAAGGAGCCAACCAGACAAATCAACAAGAGCCCAGCCAAGCCTAATGACAAAAAAACACAAAACAGAGAAATCCGTTGTAGCTACCTCCATCGGAACAATACATCTCGATCTGCACAAATCCACGTCCATCACCGAGCATTGCCTTACCAAACTCATCATCCGAGCCCGAACAGTTTCTCCGAGCACAGCCACAAAGTAGAGATAACCAACTAAAAGTAATCAGTCAACTATCAAGATAAAGAAGCCCATAAAAAACCATGAGCAACACTGCCAAAAATGACAGACAACAGAGAGAAGGAGATCAAAGCCCATATGAACAAGAGGAAGGGATGTTAGAAATATAAGAAGAGGATGACAGATTGAGATGTAAAGGGGAAAACACATTAGAAAATGGAACAGAAAAAACAAAACAAGAAAGGGGAAATTGACAATCGACTCCAACCAAAGCTAGAGTCGGTGACATCGATTTTGAACAGATTAGAAACTGTTTCAAAAACAGGAGAAAAACTCTAACGGTAAGGAGAAAGTCTCTCACAAAAGGAGAGAAGGGCCTAGAACCTAGTTTCTATTTAATCTGGGCCAGGGCCATTAAAGCGTTGATTAACGAACTATTCGAAATTCTCAAGTTTGTTTTGGTGGGAGCATGGACGAAGCCAATGAAGGCTCTCTGGGGGTAGATGTCCCCACTCAAGTAGTTCGTTTGTTTAGTTGCAGACTACAATTATATAATATACACGAGTTATCTTCAAAGAAAATATATGTATCTAATATCCAACATACATTCATTCTACTTATACTCCATATCAAATATTATATGAGCAAAAGTGCTCTTATTCTGTCATTCAAACCGAAATAAGCCTCTTCCACCTATCATGTACTTATATTTTTCTCATCACTTTGCCACTTTCCACTACTATATTGAAATTTTTGTAACACTGGAATTGTGATACATCATCATTTCAAACCATCTTTAATATCATATTGTGTATAACCATACTATAATAAGATTTTCTTAATTGTTTTCAGTTGCCCCCACTATAAAAAAATTTCTGACTCCGTCCCTGTGTGGGAGGTTTCATAATCCCTAGATTGGATTGGGACTCCCAAGTCAAACCAAATCCATGGATTCTGATCAAGGTATAAAATACGATGATATCGGAAATATCGATAGTCCAAAAACACGGAAATATTGATGGAAATATCAGGATATTATCGATATCGATAAAAATTGAATAAAAACCACAGAAATTGTAAGAAAAACTTGGAAATTTTTATTGAAACTTTGCAGGATGTTTATCTAGTCAATTATCTATTAGTTTATCACAAAAAACTGGAAGGAAATGCATTGCATGATGGATTTAACTGATTTAAGTTGATTATATAGCGAGCTGGCAAACATTGTGAGTGTGGAAAATATGTAGTAATTAATTAAAAAAGTTTAAACACACCATAATCATTTATATATAATGCAAATTTTCAAAGTATAATTCGTGAATTAATGTCTAATTGACGATAAATAGAAAAGACTCTAATATGGAATTAACCTTCACCTTGTCCATTTGTTCTAATGCTTAAAATAAACTATGAATATTAACTTGAAAACGAAAATTTTTAACTTGACACAAAAATTAAAAAACTAAAATTTCTTATTTCCCACCCTCAAACTTAAATCACACATTGTCCTCAATGTGTGGAAAATAAATAAAGAAAAAGAAAATAAACTATAAATAAAAAGAACCTAAACTCAAATAAATATACTAAACTAAATAAAAACAGGAAAAAAACACAAAAAAAAACTAAAAGGAACTGAACTAACAGAAAAACAAAAAAAAAACAAAACAAAAAAAAATACAAAAAAAGTGAACCTAGGGGTCGAACGCAGAAAAAGGATGAACAAAAGGTTCTAAGCCTTTCACGTGTGGAATGTTGATGGGCTATTACTGATGGCAAATGCTGATGGGCCGCGAGAAAAGAAAAAGAAAGGGCAGGCCGACATACTGCAACCCACTTGCTGCACACGCATGCCACACATGTGCACAACCCTAGCTGTGGTTTGGATATGAATTCACATGGGATGCTCTGCATCCATCTGCCTTGAGCCCAGAGCCGAGCCAACAACTCTTTGCATCAACCCCAGAGCCCAAAACAGCTCTTGATGTCCTTTCCATTTTTTTTATTGTTTTGTAGAAACCAAAACTGTACATCCTTTTAGAAAAAAGAGAAAGGCTCTCTACCTCTCATCGAACCATCATTTCAAACCATATCGTGAAGAAGTCCCCATAACAAGTCCCCATGTCTATTGCTCATTCAAACCTTCAACCACTCTGTCTCTCTCTAAAATAATAAAGAGGTTCTCAACCTTCTCTCTTTGTAATCTCCGAAAATGCTTTTATCTCTCCAACCTCAAGCCCAATGCCCTTTATCATACCCCACCGTGACCTCCACCATAGTGGCGCACACTCCGGCGAGCACCATCACCACCTGTGGACCGTTCCTCCTCCCTTTCTCACCTCCCGGCGAGCACCATCAGGCAAGGGGAGGCGCAGATCTTGATGGGTCTGAGCGTCTGAGCGTGGATCACTCATTTTGATGGGTCTGAGCATCTGAGCATGGATTGTAGAGAGAGGCGCAGATCTTGGCAAATGCGACGACGGAGCCTCGGCTGCAGTTGCGATGCCGACGACGGAGCCTTGGCGATATTATCAATATTATCGATAATATTGCGATATTATGACCATAATTAAGTGTATTAGTGTAAAAATATCCCCCTCTAAAAAAAAATATTATAGGAGATATTTCACCGATAATATCGATATTTCACACCTGGATTCTGATAGCTTCTAGGCTTCTAGCAAGTATTGGAGGAGAGAGAATTTGGTGTTGAGCTTTCGACTGTAAAGATACACGCTCTTTTTTAATTGATTGGGTTACAAACCCTTTTTAAAATTTAAAAGTATGAACAATTAATATGTTTTCATTACTCTTGTCCGTTGTCAATTAAGATGTTCATGAGTATCCATAATGTCCTTGCAAAATTTAACATTTGAAATGCCTAAAGTTCGATTTTTATGAATAACAAATTTGATACCTAATTTTGACTAACACAGTATGTGGCTTAGCTGAAAACTAGCTCTCTACCCATCACTGTATGAAAAAAAAAAGAGCATCATGTGCCAATGAAAAAAAATTCGGTCTGCCTAGAACACGACTCGTTACACCAAGTGTCATATAGAATTGGTTGAATTTTTTTTTTGAAGTATCCAACCACTTATACTATGACACTTAATGTACATAACTGTTTTGTCACACTGTAAAATTTCTGTATGCCATCATAACAACTCTCTCGCTTATGTGACATCCCTTGTGATGACATACAATCCGATTGGGATCATTACATTTTGGCAAGAACTAAGAAAGGTGTTCAATGGTGCAAGGTAAAATCCCGAAAAAAGCCCCTCCGAGAGAAGGGCAAGTATTCAAAGGCCTCCCTTGTCAGTTCTCGCACACTCGCACAAAAATAACAAAAACTGCGCGCTTCCTACTCCCAGTGTCGTCCTCTCTTTCAAACATTCGAAACGGACGGTCGAGATCTGGTCAGGGGCACCCCGCAAGTTGCTCGATGTTTAACAGCAAAGGTTCCTCTCCTTATTTAAACCCGCCATTTCCAATTTCCTCGCATCTCTCCACCCTCCTATTGTTCCAGTCAGTTTTACCATTCATCATCGTCTTCCTCTTCGTTTTGATCAATCATCATCTCGCATTTCTCTCTCTGTAACGAAACGATGGCGTCGCCCAAGAAGGAGAGAGAGACCCAGGTTTACTTGGCCAAGCTCGCTGAGCAGGCCGAGCGATACGAAGGTCACTCACTCACCCCTCACTCAAATTTTCTCCATCTTTTAATCCGTCGCTGTTCTTGTGTGTGTGTGTATAGATATATATGTATGTGCATGTGTGTGTACGTATGTGTATATGTTTTTATATGTTAAAGCAGGCATTGATCGAATTGTGAGTGTTTCGGCATTGTATCGGATCTTACAGGATTTTGCATGCAATAACGAAAGCCTTTGTTTTTGTTCGATTTTTGTTGCATTGGAGGAATTCAAAGTTCTTATAATTCGATTGTTACGTTTATATGTCAAAGCTGGCGTTGATCAGATTGTGCGCGTTTCAGCATTTGTATCGAATTTAAAGAATTTTTATTTAATTCCGAATGATTTTTATTATTCGTTAGAATTGATCATTTTTTTTAAAAATAGTATGGAATATAGGGAGAATCAAATGTATACACTTTTATGCATAATGTTGAAGTGAGTGGAAATGAATTGCTAGCCGTATGCCATGATGAATTTCTCTTTGAATTGTTATGTTTACTCGATGATGCAGAAATGGTTGAGTGTATGAAGAAAGTTGCGAAACTTGACCTTGAGCTGACTGTAGAGGAGAGGAATCTTCTTTCTGTGGGATACAAAAATGTCATAGGTGCTCGAAGGGCCTCTTGGCGCATCATGTCTTCCATTGAGCAAAAGGAAGAGTCTAAGGGAAATGAGCACAATGTCAAACTGATCAAGGGTTACCGGGTGAAGGTGGAGGAGGAACTCTCCAAGATTTGCGATGACATTCTGTCAATCATAGACAAGCACCTGATCCCCTCTTCCTCCTCTGGAGAGGCCACTGTTTTCTACTACAAGATGTGAGTCACATTTTCCCCTAATCGTTTACTCCAATGAATGCATGGAATATATTGCACAAGGGAAAAATTGCAAATAGATATCGGTTCAGGAAATTTTCTCCATTTCCTTGTTGGCCCTGCCTAAATGATAGGTTAAAGAGTACAAAGTCCTTTGGTTCTATTATCCTATTTTTCTCCATCTTGTACTGACATTCATCATACTGTATTTGGAATTTCTAATTTTTTTCGTGACCAACAATGGCGTGCATGTTTCAGGAAAGGTGACTATTATCGGTACCTTGCTGAGTTCAAGACCGATCAGGACAGAAAAGAGGCAGCTGAGCAGTCACTCAAGGGATACGAGGCATGTTTAATTTTACCAATTTTAACACAAATGGATGTTAATCAGTGCTTATGTATGTTTCATTCTTTTACACTTCCTATCATTTGATGTGCTCTCCTATTCCCACGTCCTTTCTCAGGCTGCATCAGCCACTGCAAACAAAGATCTCCCTTCAACCCACCCAATCCGTCTTGGTCTAGCCCTCAACTTCTCTGTCTTCTACTATGAGATTATGAATTCTCCCGAGAGGTATCAGTTTACGTCTGTTATCTTTTGATTGTTTTCGTTGAAGTAAAGTCTGAGATGGTTGTTGTTGTCGTAAACTTGTAGGGCTTGCCATTTGGCTAAACAGGCATTTGATGAGGCAATTGCAGAGTTGGACACCTTGAGTGAGGAGTCATACAAGGACAGCACCCTTATCATGCAATTGTTGAGAGACAACCTCACTCTCTGGACCTCTGATTTGCCTGAAGACGGAGGTACAGCATACCTCGATGCCTGATTAACATGCATTTACGTTTAAAACCGCATAAATAAAATGGCCAAGTAACAGACATTTACAATATCAATCCTTCCTAATTCCAAACCGTATAAAGTTCCTTTCCTTTTGAAATCACTGTACAATTAGAAAGACTTCGAAAGACTTCTCTTTATCTTCAGCTCCACCCATTCTGAATGTGAAACAACAACGGGCATGCTGTTGGTGAAGGGATACAGGAATCAAAAAACTGTATGGACTTTTAGGGTAGTAAGTGAACGAAAGTGTGCGTAGATACACATACGAAGGTGCCTGTATCTCTGTGCAGGCATCAGCACGGTAGAAGTTTCTGTTCTGAATCACAATTCAGATGGAAAAAACCTAATGTGAAAGTGATTTTCTGCAGGTGATGACAACTTCAAAGGTGAAGAATCCAAGCCTGCCGCCGAACCCGCAACTGCTAAGGTAAGTGCTTGCTACTTTTTCTTTGGGGCTTAATGGGTATGGATTAAATCAATAACTAATTGTTACTTTGGATAAAACACAGTAAATCTTGCAGCATTCACGGGCTTACCTGAAATAGCCCAGAAAACGGCAAGCAAGACCTCTGCAAAAGGCGATCTTTTAGCTTTTCTCACTCAGTTTTCGCGAGGGGATTTGACTGAAGGACGTAGACATATTTTTTTTTTCGATATTAATCCTTCTAGGTTCCAAAGAAAATTAGGATTTGATCAATTATCTGTTCTTATTTTTGTTTCTGGATTGATTGTTTTGTCTACGTGTTAAACTTCGTACGTTAAGAAATGGATTATTTTCTCTTCTTTTTTACTTTTGTAGTCCCCTTGCTTGTCTTGCAAGTTTGATATAAACTAGACTTTTCCCAATATAATATGTATTTTGTTAACGATGGTGAGCATTGTGTCACCACGTTTTGTGGATTGAATAAGTTTGATTTAATTTACCCCATACTTGAATCTTTTAAACTCATTCAATTTTGAATTATTGTGATGGCGATACTCACTACTAATAACAAAAGATAGCAAATCTCTTATTGCCAAAGCTGGCAAAGATAAAATAATCTAAAAGAGTAATGCTAGGTAAACCGAAATTTGTAAACTAAATGATGTGATTGTAGATTATTGGATTATTAATTATCAATTACCATGCTTTTTTCTTATTGGTGACATATCATTTGGTTTCCCTAACACTACTCAATCTAAAAATCTAAAATCCCTCGTAACAAAAGGTGGCCAAAAAATTACGGTTTCTAGAACATTGATAATTTTTCTCTACGAATACTTGTTCTGCAAAGAGGAAATACATCACATTGTGAGCCACAAAAAAGGTTGTTAAGATGGGAGATTTAACCGTGCAACCATTTATATTTATAGGAAAACTAACGAAAAGTTCAAAAAAACTTCTCTTTAAACTAAAAACCATTTTTAAAAGTATGGTGAATAGTGTCAGTTAAAGGTAAAATGTGATTTTTCGTTAAAAGTGAACAGTACCGGAAGTATTTTGTTAAAACTCCTTTTATTTATTTCTCTTACGTGATATGCGAACGAGATAGAGAGAAAAAGACAAATAACTGGTTGCATGCAAGATTTTGCCCGTTGGGACCGAAGGGAACGTACGTGCGGACCTCAAAGAAATGCAAACAGAATTGCCGCCAAGAGTTTCTATATAGAACACTAGAAACAAAGGAATTGTATGCACTTTTAGCCAATTTCTACACTGATATAAATGATATGAGGCATAAAATTCATATTTATATTTAAAAGGTGATGGCATATCATTTCAGTAAGAATGAATTGTCGTTTGATCCCTTGTATTATTATTCCAATTAAAATTGATTATCTGAACTTTTTTTTGGTAAATTAACTCCTGAACTATTTAAAATTAGTCAGCTAACTCCCACTGTCAGATTCGAATAAATTTTATCCATTTTACTCTTTTAGTAAGGACCCTAAAACCCCTTTCAAAACTGTGAATCAACATCAACCTCCCCTGCTGAGGTTCAACCCTCAAATGCAAATTAAGATTTCTCGAATTAAGTTCTTACATATTTGCAAAAACCACCCTGAAATTGTATAGTCAAGGAAAAGTACTGGATGACCGGCATCCTATAACATTAGAGTCAACAAAATACGTTCGAACGAAATATTAATCTGTACAAAAAATAATCAGTTATGGTTCTTCCTTGACGAAGAAATTTTGAGGCAGGCAAAACTCTTCCTCGCGATTCAGGAAATCCATCTCCTCGTCGTCTGGTTTCTGAAATTCAAGAAAAAAATGGTAAAATATGTAGATTTCAGCAAGTCTAAATAATTTCAGTAGTTGTTTATCTCAAGTCTCGCTTCAAACTTCCGTGTACGTGACCTCATTTTCCAACATTTCCTCAAGCCTACTGAATAATGCAGCTATTTAGTACCTATTCACCTATAACGCAGTGCAGAGATGCGCGTATATTTTGTATTTTCAGAGTCGTTCTACCTAAAGTATGAAGCGTCTAGTTATTTTTAAATCCCGCATTCTGCAGTTGGCACTGTGAGTGTTCGTTGTTGATTGAGTGTACACAAACAAATTACCGATGAACGTGGATATTAAGTTTAACAGTTCCATCATAAGATAAAGATCACTGAGATATGAAAAAACTGAGTGAATTAAGTAAATTAGATACCAGCATTTCCAAGTTATAGAACCTCTCTAGCAACTGCAGAACCTCGTCAGCGGAGAAGTGTCGATCAAAGCTGTGAAAACAACACAACAATGAGTAAGGCGATGCAAATGGCGATGTATTATAAACCCACAAACAGATACGTTAAGTGGGACAAACCTTCTTCGAAGAAATTCCATTAAACCATAAAGCACGAAATGGCGGTGTATGCCTGCGCCCAAACAAGTAGCGGATTGCTCATGTATTTACCTTACTTGCTTGTCTATTTACGAATAACATGATAACGTAAGAACGAAAATGGAAGAATGCATGAACGACTAATCCTAGCATTCCTCAAAATGGAAACGGTATTGTATTATTGCCTAACTAATCACCCGTCGTGCATTAACTCATACACATAATTTTTTATCCAATGTGTATGTTGATTTACTATAACTCCCCTTATATTGACTTGAACCATCAGATTCCAAATTCAATTTTGGTAAAAAGTGACAACCATACTCTTGAACTTTTCCTACCAATAACAGCCAAGCCTTATAAGGTTGGCTGTATGAATCTTATAACATCAATGCGCTCGGTTTTGTGTCAAGTCTTCTGTTAGGTAGAAGAAGAAAAATGATAACTTTCCCTCCAAAAATCAACAAGAAATATTGACTTCTTAGCATTTTCTGGGTGAAAATTTCTCCGTACGAAGATTGAAGATGCTAATTAACCACCCATTTTTACAATCTAAATTGATAATTTACATAAAATTGTCACAAAAACCACCCATATAACTAACCAAAACCGGAACTCCAGAGATAATAAACTGAAATATGAGCATTAATTAGAGAAAACCTGCCTTTTAATTTTCCGGGAGGATAAATTTCAAGAGCTTCCAACAGCCTGAGCTCCAATTCAACCTGTGATTCCTCCTATTACATTGATCATAAAATTTAAAGCAAAAAAAATATAAAACCAACATATATATACATATATGTGTCTGTGTCTGTGTTTGTATAGAATCTAGAGAGAGAGAGAGAGAGAGAGAGGGACCTTCGGGAGAGAAGAAGCAGAGGAAGGGGGAGGTTTGCAAGGAGAGTGTACGGACATGCCGTCTTGTTCCTCTTCTTCTCTGCCGTTGCCACCACTCCTTTCCATTTTAATTCGATCGATTTTATGTGATAATATTTTTGAACGGGAAATTTCTGACAAAATTTTGAAATATTTATGAGGTAGCAGCAGTCACACTGAATTTGGAAGCAAATCATGTTCTGTTTTTTATTTAGGTTTTCCATTTTCTTTGATCCAAAACGATCTCTGGAAATTGAAGTGGCCTTGTTTTTGGGCTTTTGGAGCAAAGCCCAAGTTTGTCCTGCTCTTTTTGTTGACTTAATTAGTTTTTGGATTGGACTTGGCCCAATATAAGTAAATTTTTTAACAATACGACATAAACCGCCTAGAGAATTTTTTTTTTTTTGAAAAGCGTGTTACGTGGTCGGACTTGTAGGATCATCCAATAGCAATTTTCCACATCACGAGTGGAGCCGGCTTGATCAGAATGCATGTGTGTGCGCTTGTGAGAGAGAGAGTGGGGAAAGGAAAGAGGCTTGCTACTCTGTTGAAGTTTTTTCCACTAGTTTATGATGAGAGAAATTTAATTTCATGTTTAAAATAACGGATACATTGCCTTAATCGATTGACGTTGGTAAATCACACGATGGTGATCAAAGAAAGGTTAAAATATTTTTGTGAGTCTTCCCAGCCTTTGAAATTAACTGTCGTGGCAAATCCACCGGTTGATTTTTTTTTTTTTTTTTTTTTTTTTTTTAAACAGAGGAGCTTTTCTTGACCCAAAAGGAGAATAATTTGTCTTTTTTTTGTTCATTGTAGCAATGAATGCAGGAACAAATATGCTCTAACAAATTTAAAGTAGGTGAGCTTCCAAGCTAACTAGTTTTTAATGCATTCAAAATTGGATAGCTTTGTATTAAAAAAAACATAAAAAAAGGAAAGAAAATCAAATGGATACCTTAAAAACTTATTACTATCAAAATGTTAGATTCGTGTCTGCTTATATATGCAGCTCGTTTTATGTATCGAATATTTCATATAAAATTATTATGATCACTTCATGACAATGGCGGATTACAGATTTAAATATGAGAGGTTTTAGTGTTAAAAGTTTAAGTTTTGTCTAATAGAAACAGAGCTAAGCGCGCAAATTTTTTTTATCTTAGATTCATTGACAACGGGGATTCATTTTGAAACCAAAGGCTGATCTTCCTCAATAGGAATTGAATGCTGGCTTGAGGAAAGCTGAGACATTTTGTTGAACACTTGGTGAGTTTGTTGTCGTCAAAGAAACCATATTGCACACATGTCAAAATATATAAACGTATTTCAAAGCAATCTGATAAGTGTTATCAAGTAAATTTATCAAATACTCTTGATGTAACCTATCAATATTTCACACATAATAATTAAATTATTTTTTCAAATATTATAGACCCGTTGCGATTACATTCTCCTCGAAAACGATGACAACAACATCAACAACGATGACAACATAAATATGGCAACGACCATGGTGCCGATAATGGCAGGCTGACAAAGACAGGGCCAATTTGTTACTATTTAATTTGTAACAACTTCCATTTGCATACGTCCGACACCATGCGCCCTTTATTTATTTTTTTCTTTCTTCTTCTTATTTGCATTGTAGGAAATAAAAAAAAGGCAAATAACATTTCTTTAGTTGGGGATATATTCGATCTAACATGATCATCTCCGGATTTTTTTGGTGAAAATCTTGAAAATTCGTGAATTGTGTCCGTGTATATTGTACGGTCAATTTTTGTATTTAATTTTAAACTTAATGAAATTCAAGCAAAATAAAACAAGAACATTGAGTTCAAAGAATTAAAATGAATTTCAAAAAGTAAAATGTGATCGTATTTGAATAATTGAACGTAAGAGGCAAATCAATAATTGAACCTCCTCTATTATGCGCATAGCTAACCCTTTATAGAGACAAACAAAAAGAGTATTTGATTCGTTTGGATGTGTTTTTCTATTGTTGAAATCGCTTTTGGTGAAAATATTTTTAGAACTAATTATTAATAAATATGTAAGTAAATCTTAGAAAAACACTTAAAATACTTTCTGTAAAAATGATATAACTGATGATTCTTACAGAAAATACTTAAGTATTTTTGAAACCCAAATTTTAAAAGAACGTCCAAACAAAAATGCATACCTCTCTCTCCTCTTTCACCATCCAGTTTCTCGGTTAACAGTCTCTCTCTCCATTATTGTCTGCTCAATGATCTCTCTCTCTCTCTAAGCTTTCAACTTTTTTAATCCCAGCTCTGCCCCTCACATAGTCAAGCTCTTTGGGAATCTGGGTTTCCAGAAAACGAAAACAAAAAAGAAATCATTTTCTCTCCGCATCATATTTATATTATAATATAAAAAACCCTCATCTCCTCGTTTCCAACGTTCATATATGCTTTAATATCGTTCCATACTCTACCCTTTTGTTTTGCCCAACTTCTCAAAAAATCCACCGTCAATTCGTCGACAATCTTTTTTTGGGGTTAATTTTTTCATTTGATTTTTTTTGGGGTCTGAAAAATGGCTTCATTGATCAACCCAGTTCATTCTCCAATCCGAACTTCTCAGTTTTCTTCGCTGTATTTATCGTCCAATAAGATTTCGCCTTCTTTTGCTCTGCTCAAAGTTCGCTCGCTTTCTTCCAGAGCTTCAAGCTTGGCCTTTTCTCCGTTGCCGGAGGCTGTAAAGCCTTTACCGGCAGTTGGGTTTTCCGGCAAGGGGTTGAAGCTTTCAGGGTGGAGTCAGCAGCTGAGACGGCGGGGCTCTGTTGAGTTGCTGCCGGTTGCTAAGGCTGCAGCTGCCGATGCTGATGGTGCTGAGATTGAAATTGCTGATGGGTTGGAATTTGCTGAACCCTTTAATCTTTCTTCCTCTGTTAGTATTAAAGTTTAGAACTTTTTAATCATATGATTGGTTGCTGAGAAAATGATGTGGAAAGAAAGTAAAAATCTGAAAAGAAAAAAATATATAATTTCATGGTTTCAGCTGCTTTTTTATTGGAGAAAGGTCAAAAGGTTGACTCAGATGAGTTTTTGTGGTCAATTTTTTTGGACAATGATGAATTTTTGAACGGTTTTAACGATGGTTTATGTGATTGTGCAGGTATGGGAAGCCTACAAAGAGCTTTTCTGAGAAATTTCCTTTTCTGATCACCGGTTTCTTTTTCTTCATGTGGTAATTAATTCATATTTAATTTTTTAATTAATTTCTGATTATAATTATTTATTCCAAAAAATCAATGCAGATATGGTCATAATTTTTATTCTGTTTTTTATTCAGGTACTTGTTAAATGTCATCTTCAACATACTCAACAAGAAGGTCTACAATTATTTCCCATATCCATAGTATGTTCATCCTTCAGTCTCAAACTTGTTTCGATTTTCGTATAATTTTTATTTTTACTCACAATTTGTAGGATTGATTTCCCTTCACCCCTTTTGCAGTTTTGTTTCTGTTATACACCTCCTTGTTGGAGTGGTGTACTGTCTCGTTTCTTGGTCAGTTGGGTTGCCGAAGCGCGCGGTAAGTACCTGTTTCTGCAATTGTTTAGATTCTGTTTTCAATCCGCAATGTGGGTTCCGCTAAATTGTGTAAATTTTTTGTTCATCCAGCCGATTGACAAGGAGCAGTTGGCTCTGCTGACCCCAGTTGCATTCTGTCACGCCCTCGGACATGTCATGTCCAATGTTTCATTTGCAGCTGTGGCTGTTTCTTTCACACACACTATTAAAGGTATGATCAAATGACCATTTGATAACCATTTCGTTTGTAAGCGTGAGAGTCAATGAAGTTTACAGCGTTTTTTGTTATATTTATCGACAGCCCTGGAGCCGTTCTTCAATGCATCTGCTTCTCAGTTTGTTTTGGGGCATCACATTCCCTTGTCCCTGTGGCTATCATTGGCCCCTGTCGTGATCGGTAAATCTTTAGTCTTTGATCTTCTGTTTCATTTCTCTAATATTTCTCTCACACGCCAATGATAGAGTGCACATAGATTCAGTCCTCGTGTATAACTGAACTTCCATTTTAGGTGTGTCCATGGCATCATTGACTGAACTTTCTTTCAACTGGCTTGGCTTCGGCAGTGCGATGATTTCAAACATTGCTTTCACCTATAGAAGTATCTATTCAAAAAAAGCAATGGTAAGCATCATCTGATTGAGCTTTCTTTTATTTTTTTTCGCGCTGCAGACTAATTTCGATCTCTTAAAATGTATTTTGACTTCAACAGACAGGAATGGACAGTACAAATGTGTATGCTTACATTTCAATCATTGCTCTCTTGGTTTGCATCCCACCAGCAATTCTCGTAAGTTCATCTTTTCGCAGAAATTCCGATTTTAAGCAATGGCATTGCTCTTAATTTGCGAGAGAAATATTCAGAATGCTTTCCTTTGACGTCAGATTGAAGGGCCCCAACTGATGCAATATGGATTTAAGGATGCTATAGCGAAAGTAGGCCTCTACAAATTTGTCTCTGATTTATTCTGGATCGGAATGTTTTATCATCTGTACAATCAGGTAAACCGTTGACATACTCTCTGAAAGCACATGTTTGATCCATACCTGCACCATTGCCCGTTTTGTAGTATTAACCACTGCCGGGGGTTACAATTGCAGCTTGCTACTAACACTTTGGAACGGGTTGCACCACTAACGCATGCAGTCGGAAATGTGTTGAAGCGTGTTTTCGTGATCGGGTTCTCCATTGTTGTGTTTGGTAATTTGCTTTAACCTCATTCAAATCATATGCACCTCAGATGATACCTCAGTTTGTTAAACAGTTTGAACATGGGTGAGTCCGGTTTATCATACATGTTCATATGTTTCTTGCTCCGTGTTTGACAGGCAACAAAATCTCTACACAAACTGGGATTGGAACTGCCATCGCAATCGCTGGTGTTGCCATCTACTCCTTAATCAAAGCAAACTTGGAAGAGCAAAAACGGGTAAAGATCCTTCGACACCTTAACTATTTTATTTCCATTCAATTTTTCGGTAATAAACTTCTTCGTTTCGAACCAGCCATTTTTGCTTGAACTCACATACATATCATACCATCCTGCATTTCAGAAGGCTGCTGCAGTTTCCGCATCATAGGTTTATAGCCATTAGAGGCTTTGTGGTGGATGCCTGAGAGAAAATAAAAGCTCTGAGAATAATAAGAATTAATAACATCGAATCGAGTCGAAAGCATCGGGAGATTACGAAATGGAAAAGCTCATTGAATTTGTTGTATTTTTCACTCAGTTTTATTACCAAAATTGTAAGTGATCTACAAGGAATTTTGATCACTGTTGTAATTGTAGCAGGCACTCGGCGCTTAAATTCTGATTAGGTGCCAAATTTTTTTAATAGAATTTTAAATACCATATGGTAACCTTCAGCGTTGCAAAGCTGTTTTTTTTTAGGAAAACTAATGAAAATAACTTGAAAACTTTGAGTTTTAACGATAAAGACAAAATAAAGAGTAAGGTGAATGGTATCAGGATTGATTTTTTAGTGTAAAAATGTGATTTTTTGTTAAATTGAACAGTATCAGAAGTTTTTTTTTGTTAAAATTCCTTTTCTTTTTTGTTTTTTCCCATTTAAAGCAAATATTGGGGAGGAGAGGGGATTCGAGCTCGGAACATCGGGGCATCAAAGTGCAAGGGTAAATACTTTTAATCAAGGAACTTTAATGAAAAGTTCCCAATACTGTTCTTTTTAACGAAAAATCATATTTTTACATTACAAAATTAATCCAGATACTATTCATTTTAAGGAAAACTAATGAAAAGAGCTTGAAAACTTTGAGTTTTAATGATAAGAACAAAATAAAATGTAAAGTAAATAGTACCAGAATTGACTTTTTAGTGTAAAAATATGATTTTTCGTTAAAGTAAACAGTACCGGATGCTTTTCGTTAAAATTACCTTCATTTTACCCTTTATCGAATGGAAATTTAAAATACGCTAAAGACGACACGAGAAAGAAATGGCCGAGACATCTTGTAGAAAAAATTGAGACTAAACACCATTGGGCACGAAACAAGAAACATTTTTCCTACCATTATTGGCAACAATTTTAAGGTTATATTTTTCCTGTCTAACAATTTACTACTCATTTTCGCTCAAAAAGCACAAAAACGTTACATATGAAGAACAAAAAAAAAACAATAAGGAACTAGGAGGCTATTATCCTAGCAAAGATCCTGCCAAGACTCGATGGAAAATCCGAGGTAATGTACATATTCGGATGAAGTTACACTGGAAGATACGAGCGTTCGAGGTGGATCTCGTATCCAATCAGCTTCGTCAAACCATACTGCAGGCAATACAGCAATCGTTAACCAGAAACACGGTTGAAGCAAGAGATCGCGAAAAGAGTGATATGCAAGTTATACGGAAACAGAATGAAGATTTTTCATCTCAGAAAGGAACATTTACTTACTATTTAGGCATATCCGGTGCTGTAGTTGAGGTTGAACAGCCAGTCCCTGCGATTCTCTGAACCCATCACAATTTTGAACCTTTTGGCCAAGGTATCAACATGATCGTCACTCTCATAGTCGAGCTCTCGCCTACATCTTCTTCTGACCCTTTTCAGCATTTCTTTCGTTGGTTCAAAACCAGCAATTACCTGTCCAAATATTTATTATATTCTTTACTGAGGCAGCAAATTAAGCACTATGGAAAAGGTTACACCATCAGTGACAAGAAGAAATTGAAGAATGCAGTTACCATGTCATCAATCACCAAGACCGCAGCTTTTGGATCTCTGTTGATGAGATGAGCGTCTACAAGTAACGAGTACGACTTTGCATTGGGTTTGACGCCCACACTAACCAAGTGCTCAAATACTCTTGAAGCTTCAAAAGTCTGCCAAAAAAACCATAAGACGAGATCAGCAAGGTGTTATCGTGTTTAATACATGCGATGCCTTTGCAAATTTTGACACTGCATCAGGTCCATATGCTGCTTATGGGCATGAACAGAGGTCCCCGGGAAATAAATATTTTCTGTGCCAACTAACTCCACACGATAAGTAAAAACCAGTCCTAACTTCTAAGAGTATGGATCAACTACTGATAACTTGTCACCCAAGTTCAATAGAAGTACAAAATCCTTTGATCACACTAAAAGCATTAAGGGTAGATCATGGCTACTCAATGCATATCAAAAAAATATCACATTATAAAACTATGACGGACATTGAGCTAGCTAAGTCTCAGATAGAGAGAGAGCACTATTTACCTGCTTGTGCTTTCCAAAAGCATACATGAGAGCGTTGTAAGAATGTATATCAGGGGTCAATTCAAATGTAGAACTAATCGCCTCAAAGGTCTGGTAAGCACGCTCAATCTGCCAGGTATTTGCACAACCTAATATTATGCAATTCAATGCAGCAACAGATTTGTACGGAGGGTCTGCACGGCTCAAATTTTCTAATTGATAATACACCTGAGGAATCAATATGTTTCAAGTTAAAAAGCTGCAAAAGAAAATTCATAAAGGCATATAGACAATGGAGTAATGGACTGAAAACTGCAAAGCACTCTCCTTGGCCCCCTTTTCCTCAGACAGATAATTGCAAGATATATTTTCATTTACTAGTTCTTTTTTGGACTGCTATTAGTTAACAAGTTTTAGTTTGTTAAACAGTGACCTACAGAAACTTGAAAGATTTACTTCATGGGGACTAGCAATTACATCACTGATGCATAATAAGAATCGAAAAATTGGGAGTTGTGCCTATGCAAAATTTAAAAATGCACAAGAACATCATAAATTTGCATCTTTAAGATAAATAAAGGTTAAAATCTTTATTACCCTACAAATATCTCAGACACAAATCGAGACAACGTTGATATTTCAATAGATTACATGTCTAAATCAAATAGGAATAAAGAGAGAACTACATACCGAGTCCAAAGTTCCAAAACCTCCCTTAGAGCAGGCAACAACCAGCAGATATAATGAAGTAAATGGGGAGAACAGTTCCTCTTCTGCTTCTTTATCGGAATTACCATAAGCAGCCTCATATTCACGGAGAGTACTAAAAGCTCTTTGAAGACTCCCTAGCGATGCAAGGGCACATATCTTTGCACGGTAAGATTCTGCATTAGGAACCTTCTTTTGGCGCAACGAGCGTAGTAAGATTGCCCATGATGCATCCAGTAAAGTAGTATTGTGTGTCCTGCCGGCAGTTGCAAGTGCTGACACAAGCAGCCCTTCATCTGCAGAAAGAAAAACAATAGGTCTTGCTTGCTCACCCCTAGCAATCCATTTGGCCATAAACTCCAGGGCATGAAATGCTAATTTGCTATTATCCTCTTGCAGAGCAACTTCCGCAATGTAGTTGCACAAGTTCCATGGAGGGCAAAGAGCTTTGTTTTGATCCATTGACTGATAACACCCCAAAAAAAAAAACTTGTATAAGCGAACATTGTCCAAAATTTTCCATTCCTCGATCTAAATATCTATGGTATGAATCATGTACCTTGCACTTGTCGATAATTGAAACCAAAGTATCTAGTTTTCCCTTATTGACACAGCCTCGTACACATTCTCTAAACACCGGCATTGACAGCATGTAACCAGATTTTAAATTCAAGTCTATATATTTCAAGGCGGCGTCAATCTGGTCCATTTGTAACAGCATGCCGATAACCAAGTCATATGACTCTTCATCAGGCGGAGATTCCTTCCCTGTCTGCAACATCCTGATACATTGAAGTGAAATTGATTCATGAAATATGAATTCATACATATACTAACATGTGTTTCTGGGAGAGCCGAAAGACGAGTAAAGAAAACAAAAGCCTTTAATCGGCACTCCAACAAGAAAAATTCATTTCATTACAAACCACGGAGGCAACATCAATTGAATTATAAGGTAAACTTGCGAGAATAATAATCAAATCGACCAAAGAGCTAACCTTTCGAGCAATTTATCTGCGGCCTCGGTCTCTCTGGCCTGGTGCATGGCCTTGAGGACGAGATTAAACGACGCCGTGTTGGGCGTGATGCCGTAGTCCTCCATATGCGCCACAAGATCCAGCATCGTCCCCGGCGAGGCTCCCATCATCAAATTGGCCCTCAAGTAATGGTTATACAAGCTCACATCGGGCTTATTCGGCTTCCCGTTCTTATCCAACGACCGAACCCAGAACTCGAACAGCTGCTTCATGTCCAGCCATCGCTGTGATGTCATCCAACCGGCGAACTCGTTCATTAGGCTCTGCGCGTCTAGGTTTTGCGACATGGCCTGGAATCGGGCGCTCGGGGACTGGTTGAGGAACCCGATGGGAAGCGGGGACTGACCCATGGGCGAGTTGGGTGCCGGATTCCGCCAGTTCTCGTTGTACATGGGGCTTCCGGAGGCGGGGTTCGGAGGGAGAGGGGTGGAGGCGATGGGGTGAGTCGGCTCGACGTCGAGTTGAGGCTCCTGGGAGAGAAATGTGACTGTTGTGATGGACTTGAATCCCGGGTTCGGGTTTAGGATTTTGGCCAGCGTTCGGGTCCGCGCGAGGATCGCCATTTGGGACGCCATTGATGGAGCTCAGTCACAGTGACAGTGAGATGTACGGTAAGTTAGGGTTTTGAAGCTTCTCAGGGACGGAGGGCTGTATGGTAATTTTGAAATTTCTAATGGCATTTCGGACATTATCTGGAAATGAAGTGGCATTGTGGCTGATGGGTTATGTCAGCAGCGTATTCTTTGGGCTTGTAAAATTTACACGTGGGAGAGTCCAAAACTTCTGGTGTTGGGTTTTAAACGTTGGAAAGCCCAGTTTAGATGGATTGCCTGGTTTTAAGTTCTTAAAAGCCCAAATGACAGAAGAGGCTCCAACTTTTAGGCCCATTTTAAATGTCTTTTGAGATCGGGATCTTTTTTTATATCCCTTTGGAATCAATTCGTCTTATTCGTTCATCACAAATCTTATGGCCATAAATTAAACACAATTCTTGACCGCACGATTTGCATCAACGGAGCCGCAATAATATGGTCCGAAGGCTCCAAAGAGAAAGATCCAGAAAGTATCTGGATCCCAAATGTTTATTTATCCGCTTCATGAGTTTTGAAGCCAATTGGTACGACTTAAATTTGTCTTTTTTCTTGAGGGGAGAATAAATATATATATATATATATATATATATATATATAGTATTGGAAAGAATATAATTTGAATATGTGAGATCGTATAAAGAGAAACATATAATTTCTTTGGCTTTTTGGTTAAGTTTTAATTAGACAGTTGTATCTTTCATGCGTAACGGAATTATGCAAGTAAATTAAATACATTTTTTTTACAAAACAAGTGGTGGTAGGGCCTAACAGATCAAATCCGACAAGATTAACAAACAATTTGATCACAACATCATCACATGGTAAAAGATCAAATCATCACACATTTCTTTGTGGAAAGGGATCTTCATCCCTTCCACCAAATCCACTAAATCCATCAATCCGAACTCTTGATATTTGATTCAACGGTTAAAGTTATTATAACTTTTAAAAGAGATCCCTGTTTTTAGCTGTTTGATCAATTTTAATGGTCTAGATTCGTGGATTTGGTGGAAGGGTTCTGGATATGATCCCTTTCATTTTTTTGTGTTTTCTTTTGTTTTCTTAATTTCATATAATATTTTTTCTAGTAAAGCATATATAATATTTGTTTGTATCATATTTCACAAATCCCGAAACAATTGATTACCTGTCAATTTTGCATCTTCAAAGACTTACTGAAGGATTTATGATGAGGCACCTCTGCCAAAGCACACGAGTTTCTTTTCAATTAAGAGACCAATCACAACGTTACACATGTTAACACCAAATTAAAACTCCTAGAGTTCCACATCAACTGCGGACGGAAACAGGAGACTCTCGTCAACTATAAAAGTAGATCATTCTCCAACAATTAATCCCTAGTCTCATTATTTCCCTTAATTCACTATTAGAACTTACGATGATTATGCTTGAACTTTTGTCCAATGTAAACTCTACATTATTAATGAGAACTCATCTACCCTCTAGAACGTAACCCAACTTAAAAAAAAAAAAAGTAATCATAAACCTTTTATTGGTGAAGGTTCTGTTCCATTTGTAAGAAAGAAAGATGAAGCATTACCTTTGTTTTTGTGTGGTCCAATTTATTCTCTTTAGGGCTGGTAGGAATTTCAAGTCCCAAATAAAAAACTTTCGGGACTCATTCACTAAAGTCATCTAAAAGCAACCACAGATTTTCAAAGAATCACTTTGCTAGTGTTTCTCCTTTATAATTTTGGATCCACCTAATATGTATGACTCAACTCACATGTATTTTTTTTATATTGAATTTGCAATTAACATATGATAAATTAACTTGATGAAATTGCAAAAGGAAAGTTTTCTGCACATATATCGAGGTCCACATAGAATAGGAAGACTTTTTAGCTAAATCGGTTATTGAAATTGACATACTTTTTCACTTTGGTTCATAATTGATCGATAAAGGTAATCCTTGATTTTGTCATAGTAAATCATTTTGGTAACTCTGAGAAAAATCTGTCAATATTATTGTTAAGTCGAAGGGTTGGTTTGACAAAAATACCCTTAAAAAGACGATTACAAATTCGTTCACATGACAGTTCAACGAGAAAACTGACAGATTTTTACATAATGATCAAAATGATTTGCGGACAAACTTATAAATCACTTCTATTAATTTTTATTGTTAAGGACTAAACTGAAGAGTTATGTCAATCTCAATGGTCATTTTGCCTAAAAAACCAAACAAGAATTAAACTCCATGAGAGCTAATCTCTTGTTGTTCCTCAGTTGCTTAATAATAGAGCGGTCGGTTATTAACCGAGTGATTTTAGGTTGAACCTACAATAAAAAAAATTAATTTAATATGGTTGCGTGCACTTGCATGACCCCAATACAAACTGAAACAAGCCATTTCATTGATGATTGAGTTCAAGTAATTCATTAACGTTTGCATTCCACACTTTATCAAGCAATGTGTCAGGAGTGCCGTGGCACCACCCCATTGGCTAGATTGATATTTGATTTGAAATCCTACTATGCTGACGTGTGGGATTTCTTAGGTTTGTGGTAGAGACCGTAGTTGGAAGGTGCATGCCTTCAAATTCAAGCTGTAAATAGGTTTGAGTATGTCCACCAAAAGCCATTGTATGAGTTGTGTTTGTCCGGAGACTTTCAACCGCCGATGATATCCAAATTCTATGTACATTAACGATTGGTAGTCACTTCAAGTAAGCAATTGCACTTAACAATTTTTCCAGGACTAAATGTTAAAGAAGTCTCGATTATGCGTGTGTGCCGCATGGGGTAACACACTCACAATGAATTGCAACCCTTGCCTTGAGTCTTAGCACGTCCCGACTATTATTACTGTGTTGCCTTATGCATTAGTTGTACCAAAAATCCCCTCCATATAATAGGTTATATTAACTCTAAAAGAACGATCACTTAATACTACGGTTTAGTGATATTCCTCTTCATTTGTAAATGAAAAGTCTTAGATTCGGTTTTCGTCAAAAACAGTCCTACCCTTTTAATATGGAATATCACATGATGAAAATTCCAACATGGCATGTGTATTTATCACAACTCGTTTAACTTGTATGAGATGCTGATGCCTCATGCCCCGAAGGAACCACCTATCCCTCCATGGAACCACTAATGGCGGGCCCCAAGAGGCCAGTGCTAAGTACTAACCAAACCCTAGTCCATATTGGGTTCAGTGCCCCAAAAGAACCATCTGTCCCCCCATGGAACCTTTAATGGCGGGCCCCACACAGGCTAGTTCCTAAGTCATAACCAAACCCTAGTCCAGGTTGGGTTCAGTTCTGTCTGATCACCCCGCGGGTGAGTTTAAGACCGTTTACTCTCACATGACAAAAGCTTCTGCTTGCTCACCTCCCCAGAACCCTTAAACAAACAAGTATAAATCTAAATGTAAATTATATTGCTAATTAAACAGAATTTCTGCCACTTAATGTAAAAAAAATCTGAATTAAAAAAGGTTTAAAACCATATCACATACACACAGCCACCGTCCTATCATTGCTTTCCCCACTAGAAATCCCCACTCTCCACAGCTCTCTCTCTCTCTTTCTCTACAAGCCACCTCTCTCTCTCTCTCTCTCTAGTTCAGCAAAACTGTCATTTCTCTCCCTTATTTTTCCTACAATCCTGCATCAATCATGGCTGCTTTAGTGTATATTGTGATTTTATTGGCCCTCACTGGCCATTCAAGTAAGCTCCTTTATTATGTTCGTTTTTTAATCTCTTTCCAGTTTTTTTTTTCTTAATTTTCTTAATCTAACATGTGGAAACTGAAAATCACTGTAACCCCTTTTTTCCAATCGAGGAAGAACTCCTCCCAAATCATAAAGTTTCAATCTTTCTCGTATTTTCCCACTCCATCAAATGAAATGCCTCCCAAATCAAAAAGTTTTAATCTGTCTTCTGTTTTTTTTTTTTTTTTTTTTTTTTTTTTTTTTTTTTTTAAGGATTAGAAGATGTTAGCTCCTCGGAGTAGGACGATGTCACGTGTCCTCAAAAGGGCTATGATTTAAAGTGGTTTTAGTGTGAAGTAACTGGTTTTCTGGGTTTTTTTTTTCTGGGATTTTTAGGTGCTATTTATTGCGTATGCAAAGATGGAATTGGTGATTCAGCACTTCAGAAGGCACTGGACTATGCCTGTGGAGCTGGAGCTGACTGCAGTCCAATCCTCCAAAACGGTGCGTGTTACCAGCCCAACACCATCAAAGATCACTGCAGCTATGCAGTCAACAGTTATTTCCAGAGGAAGGGTCAAACTGCACAGAGCTGTGATTTTTCTGGTGCTGCTTCTCAGAGCCAAACTGCTCCTAGTAGTAAGTTCATTCCTCCTGAATCCTTATTCTTACCAATTTTTTTCAATTTTTTTTATATATTTTTAATAAAAATCACTAATTTTAATTTTTTTGGTGATTTTCCAGCCGCAAGTTCGACTTGTGTTTATCCTGCAAGTACCAGGTAGGCGTCTGAGTCTTTATTTCTGATATCTTGCAATTTTCCCCAGAATTTTATCAATATATTTAAATGCAATTTCCCAGAATATATTTTTTTGATTTTCTTGTATTTTTATGTGGGGTAGATGGTAGGTAGAACCTCTCACTCCGCACTTAAATGCTGTAATTTTTTATTTTTTTGTCAAACACTTAAATGCTGTAATTACTTGTAGTTAAAATGGTAGGTTTCAAAAGGGCTTCTTGAATAAGCAACAGCAGCTGCAATTTGCAAAAGTGAATTTGGAGATTAGTGCATAACTTAACGAGCTTATTTGGAAAGTGATTAAGGAAAAGAATAGATCTACCTCCGCCCTTAAATTAATACTGTAGTAGCTTGATCTATGGTATTCAGTCATAACTGTGAGCTGTCATGATCTATAAGCTTGACAGTTGTTTTACTGCATGCCACTATCATTCATTCAATGTAACTGGTTACAAACTTTTAATTAAAGAATATTTGTTGATTTGTCGTCCGGACTTGTATAGAGGTGCCAATTTTCTCCTAAATTTAGCCGATTATCCCA